GGATAGAAAAAATAAATAGTTTTTTTTTCTATTTATAAACATAACAAAATACAAGAATTATAAAAATCAACGGGACTTTCAAGTTTTACCCATACAAAATCATTTATATAATGATAAATTCAGAGATATTTCATACAAGTTTTTCATGGATACAATCATTAGTAAAGATGAATAATTGTCAATATCTGATAAACACATCTATAAATTAATTTGTTTTTAATTTTTGCAATAGAATTATCATTAACTTCTATGTCAAATAATAATTATCTTAAATGGAAATTAGATTTTTCTATTGTTGCTGGAGGAAATGGATATGGAACTAACTTAAATCAAGTTAGTTTAACTCGAGGAATCTATATTGATGATGATAATCAAACGATTTATATTACTCAATATAATAGTGATCGGGTTGTTGGATGGAAATTCGGTGAAAAAAGTGGTGAAGTCGTCGCTGGTGGAAATGGTCCAGGGGGTGATTTAAATCAATTGCAAGATCCATCAGATGTAACTGTTGATAAAAAAAATAATTTACTCATTATTTGTGATCAAGGAAACAAACGTGTAGTACAATGGTCTCGTCGAAATCAAACAGATCCAAAAATAATTATCTCGAAAATTGAATGTAACGGTGTAACAATCGATGATAATGGAGATATTTATGTTTCAGAAGGAGAGAATCATACTGTTATACAATTGAAACAAGGAGAAGCACAGGCAACAATTGTAGCTGGTGGAAATGAATGTGGATATGAACCAAATCAACTAAATAATCCTACTTACATTTGTATTGACGAACAATATTCGATTTATGTATCTGATCATGAATATGGTCGTGTCACAAAATGGATAAAAAATGCGAAAGAAGGAATTATTGTTGCCAAGAAACAAATTCCAGATCCTATTCCACAACCGTCGTTTTATTCATTCGGAATGGCTGTCGATTATTTTGGTAATGTATATGTGTCAGACACTCACGATAGGCGAATAGTGCGCTGGCTAAAAGGGTCTAAAGATTGTTACATTATTATGAATGGAGATAGTGATGAACGACCACTAGAGCCGTTCAATACACCCGCAGCTATATCATTAGATCGAGAAGGGAATCTGTATGTCTTTGATAATCAGAAGAATCAAATAATAAAGTTTGATATTGATCTTAATTGAAATTATTATTTTCGTCAAATGAATTTTATGTAACAGTCTGCTTTTTTTGTCATTTTTTTTCTTTTCATCTTATTTAAAAATAAATCATTTTATAATTGAATTCTTTTGACTTATTTTTTCTTGACATGTCTAGAATCTTTGAAGATATTTTCATCGATTATTTTAATCGTCTGTTACAGACCGTATACAATTGAGCTGTTTAAACGAATCATTTTAGATGAGAAAATATTTTCAAGTTTCGATTTGAACTTGAGCTGAATTTGTTGATTTCTATTCATCACTTAATAGATGAACAAATCTATTTATACATAAATGTATAAATACTTACCTATTATTATTGTTTTCTCATGTTTTCTTTGTCTTCAATAATAATAAATATGAACAATGTGATATTCTTATGCATATTGTCAAGATGAATTATCTGTACAAGAGAATAATTACAGACAAACGGATGATAGAGTTCTATCACAAGTAGAGAATAGTTCATACAAAATTCCTTTGATTACTATCCATGAAAGAGAAATAATTCATTTTAGTAGAATAAATGACTTTGAGTATGAGATAAAGAGTATCTCATTTATCTCTTATGTGTGTCTATACTGAAATTCAACTATTAATAACCACTAACCATAATAACAATTCACTTATATTTTATTTTATCTTATTATTTAAGTTTAGAATACTACTTTAATATAACAATGTTATTCCTATATAGATTTATTGATATCATATCTTCGTTTGAAGATCAATCACTAGTCTATCCATTATTTTCGGTAAGATTCATCGTGTTCACTTTGATTGTTAATGTTAATTGATATTAGAATTTCGATGAATCAAATAATTATAGAATTCACTAAATTCAAATTTATTTTATTTGAAAGAAAAGAATAAAAGTTAATAATATTAGCATAGGTACATTCTACCACTGATTTAAAGAATATATTTTGTACGTTTATATTCGAAATCTATGGTGAAATGAGGAAACGTATACAATGTCTATATAGATCGAGAAGATTTGTACGTCATGTTGATATATTAGGGAAAGCACTGGAGTGAATGACATCTCACAGTATTTCAGATCGTGTAGCAGTATGTCATGTCGACAAAAAAAAGATGAGAGCCGAAGAAGGAAGAGAAGAATGGTGACTATGAAAATAAGAGGAAACAAGAAAAAAGAACAATAACAGCTTTAAATGAGTAATGCTTCATGTACACATGCTTGATAACCGTGCTTCTCGTGTTCTCGCTTGCATTTTCCTTCTCTCTCTTTTCTCTTGCTTTCACAAGCTGCTTCAAGTTTGTTAGCTCAATTGTTCCTCTAGAACCGACATGGTCAGAGGTTCCTCTTAAGTTAAGAAAAAAAAATTTCTGATGTAATGATAATATAGATAATAAATAAATAAAAATGTTATTTTTATTTTGAGAAAAAATTAATTTTTTGTATAATAGAAAGAAATTCCTGTTTGTATGTTCTTGAAGGTAAAATAAATAATATAATAATAAGCAATGGTGGAATAAATGAAATATAATATCCAATTAAATATAACCATGGATTCCGTATTGAATCCATACATCCAGATAGAAATGAAATAATTAAACGAGGAATAGATAATAATATTAAAATACATGATGATATAAGAAGATGTCTATTTTGTTTAATTTGAGCATAAAGAATTTTTTTATATGCTGATTTTTTCTTTGTTTTTACACGTATTCGAAATACTTGAATAGTAATACATATAGCAGATAAAATATTAATAATAAATGGTATGAAAACATGAAATATATTTATAAATTTATGATATTTTTTTAAACTTGTTGAATATTCAAGAATACACCATATTCTTTGTTCGTCATCAATATCATTAATTGTTCGACGAGATATTGGATCATGAATATATGATATACTTATTAATAATAATAGTATCGGCATAACATATTTAGCTATATATTTACTTTTTGACTGATTAAAATGTATTCCTTGTGTAGCAGCTAATGTTCTTTCAATAGCTACACATGCATATAACCAATCGCCAAAACTAAGAAGAATTTTTAATAATACATCTGTTAATATACAACTAAAATGAATAAATGATGTATTTGTTATAGATTTCATTTGAAAAATAATAAGTTGAAAATATTTTATGGTAAATATAGTTATTGTTAATATTGATATAATTGAATTTGTTGATAAATATATCCATTAATAATACTAAATATTAACATAAGAATTGTTATTGATGCAGTTATTTTCACTGCGTTGGATTGTTTTGTAAATGAAATAAATGGTTTAATATGATATCCAAATATAACATCAAGTGATGTACTAAAACCTATGCTATTAAATTGACATTTACTTCCATAATAACATTTGTTACATATACATACTGAAGTTGATGGGCAAGTTCTATTATCTTGAAAACATCTACCATTATTCTCACAATAATTATAACCTTGACAATTATAAGACGTATTATGATCAAATTCAAAACAATTTGAATATCGATTTTTATCGCAAACACACATATATTTTTCATCATAAAAACATTTTAATTTGAGATTTTCTATACATGGTAATTGATAATATTTTAATCGACGAAGATTTGTATAATTAAGTATTGTTGAATTTAAAAGTTTATTTATATTTTCACAATTATTATCTTGATTTATATTAGTAGCAATATTTTCAGATCGAATTGATTTTTCTCTTAATACAGTAAGATAATAATTCTTTTCAAATTCAATAAATAATAAATTAAATGGAATTTGAGAAAATAATTCAATTGAATATTGATCAAATGGAATTTTTTTAAATCTTGTTATTCTTTCATGTCCTTTATCATGATGTGAAATAATATAATGAGCAAAAATTAATAATGGAATTGAATTAATTTTGAAATTAACATTTATTCTGTTCAGTTGATATTCACAATAAGATCCAGTAAAATTTTCAGGACATAAACAAATAAAACCATCATGATTTGTATGATAATTATAAGGTACACATTTACCATTATTCTGACACGAATTATTAGTTGATTGACACGATGTATATTGTAAATAACATTTTGAACCAAATTTATTTAATGGACATAAACAAATTTATGAATTTAACGCCATTGAATCCGATGAACAAGAATGTTGATATGTTATATTACAAAAACGACCTGAATAACCTGGATCACAATGGCATAATTCTTTTGTTGAATTAATATATTTAAAACATTTTCCATTGTTCCACATTGAATTGAACATTTTGTTAATAATTGAGATTTTTCTGATGGAATACGAATTAATGTTGATATACGATGAACTGGTAAGAATGGAAATGGAATAGATAAATTCCAACTTCCATAATAATTGAATAATGTTAATTTTTCATAAATATCAATACGTATCGAATATATATGATTGACATTTTTTGGTTGATTAGGATAAAGTAAATAACGATTGTATTTTGTATTACAATCTATTGATGAAACATAATTAATTTTTTCATAATTATGTATTATTTCATTTTCATCATCAATTAAATAAATAAATATATCATAAATAGAATGTTTATTCTCATGTGAACCTAATGGACGTATCTGAAGTGTTAAACTAATACGTTGATTTTGCAAATGACATCGATCACCGTAATAATTAGGTGGACATAAACATTTCTTTTCATAAGATTTCCCTTCGAATATAACAATTCCACGATTACAATATTCGATTAATTCAATACTAGTTTTGATTTCGAGAGGTTTTTTTGACTTAATATTGATAGATTGTTGAGACGATAATGATATCTGATCTATTATTGGTGGAAAATATCCCAAATTCCATGTAGAAAAATAATAAAGACCACGATCAGGGACAGTATTATGCTTGGCCATGCGACATAATGTTCCATTATTATACAAATCTACTGAGAATGTAGAGTTAAAACGAATGTTTTCTTTTTCAACAATATTATATATTAATTGTTGATCATTAGTTGATGAATAACCACAAATATCATTTTTTGTTAAACAAGTCTTTTCTTTCCATGATATATATTCTTGATTAATATTAAGAGTTAAATTATTCGAATAAAATATATTTCGATATAGATTATTATTATCACTAAAATCATGATTAATACAATCGACTGGTTTTTCATAAATATATTCTTGCGGAATACAATAATAATCATTCGTTGAATTAATAATTTGACATTTAAATTCATTTATATTACAATTAACATTAGGACAATTCAATTCATCGATAACATTAGCACATTGAAAAACATTATCACATCGAGTATACGGAGTATGACAGGGTCACCATTCACAATTGTTTTCATCGGTTTCATTATCTTCTCGTTCTAATTCTGCAAAACTATCTATCTCATTACAAAGACGTGAATATACAAATATTTCGTCATTGTCAATTTTTTCATCTTCTGCATTTTTGCATTGAGGTTGATCAAGGCCAATACCTATAGGTGATAAACATTTTGTTTCTGATGTACAATTAAAACGATGAATATCATTTAATGAACAACTATTTGTATAAATTTCATCTTCATTATAATAACAGTCTCGAATACCATCAATGAGACGATGTTTTGATATATATTTATGAGATTTTTCACAATAAAATAAAGATGAATTTGATTTATATTTATTAATATTTCCCATTAATGCACAAATCGCAGCATCTTCTTTCAAATAATCTGATAAACCCGGACTGTTGGAGAAAAATGTTGAAGATGAACGGCAATCTAAACCATTCATACGATTTTTTTCATTTGACAAATATAAACCAAATCGTGGATTAGTACAGATGTATGCTGGCCATTTATCATAATCAGGATTGTTAAAATATCGAGTTGAATAAAAAGGTTGAAAATAACCATTGAACATAGGTTCACGAGGAAACGAAAGATATTCAAATGTACAATTTTTTGATGACAAATTTTTACTTGAACAATCTGTTATATTGTATGTATCATTTTGGAGAATGTCATAAAAACCGAGTTTACAAAATAATATAAGATAACAATCATTCGGATATTGTTTGGCTGATTTATAAATTGCTTGACGATAGTTGGCAACACGACCTGTACTTGCACAAGCATCTGGGTTATAATTAATAAGATTAAAACTAGGATTAAATATTGTACAACTTCCATCGCCACATGAAAATTCATGTGGTTGACGACATGTTACCTCTTCACAAGCGAATAGCATTGAATCGATGCATCCTAAAGATTGTTCCGGTTTCAAATATTGCGACTTACGAAACTTTTCAACTTCATCTGTTCCATCCAAACAATCTTTACTTAGTCGACTATCACGAAAGAATTCAAATGGAATACATTGTGCTCCATTATGACATCGATATTCATCTTCGTTACATTCATTTATTTCAAGTTCATTACAATATTCTTCATCGATACCAAAATTATCTCCAATACAATCAACTTTTCCATCACATATTTCACGCCAGTCTAAACATATCGGTTCAGGACCACGATAACATCCAGATAGATGACGATAACAAGTATGTATTAAAATTTTTTCCTTATATTGTTTACGAGCTTTAAATGAAGATTTTACAAAATACCCAAATGATTCGATAGGTATACTCAGATTAAATGTATATTGACAATTCGAACCAAACCATAATGATGAACAATTATTAAGAATAAATCCATCAAATTCGATATCATTTTTAATGAGGTATATAGAATATAGTTCAATTATATCAATTGATATTGACCACTGAAGAAGATTTTCACTCGTAATTCCTTGTAAACTTAAATTTTTAAATGTGTATGTATTTTCTATATATCCTTGTATTTTATTAATAGAATCAGTTGATAATGGACGTCGACAATAAGGTATTAGATGATTTGTTCGAAACGAAACATGTTCATTTGAATCACGATCATCAATTATATGCAAATAAAAACAATCAAAAATTGTTTTTGAATTATCATTTGTATTATACAAAAATGATGCATTCGATTTAATAATTATCAGCGGTAATAATATAATAAAATATAGCAATTGCCAATGCATCATAATAACTTTAGAAATATAAAAACTAATTATTATTATGCATATATATAACGTTTCATTTTATCATTAACATAAAACAAGGAAATGTAAAGTAACTATATCAATATTGTTGTATATTTATCGAACTAAACTGCAACATCAGATAGGAAATGCGTAATTCCTGTAGGAAACACATCTGTATTATGTTTTATTGTAGAAAACACAGTATCAATATTTAAAGTACTTTTATCATATTTTTAGCTTACAGTATCATAAATATGTTTGAGTGTTCTAGCAAATTCTATATCTTTTCATCGAACACTAACATTATCAATATTGGAAAATTAAATAGTTTCGAATTATTTTGATAGTTAAAAACTCATTAATTATTATCAACTTTTAAAATCTTGATAATCCGAGTATTTGAAAATACAGATGTAAGATCAACAAAACCTTCACATCTTTATCTATAACCAAATACAGTTTGAACCTTATTGGTAAGACGTATCCGTATGATTTTGTGATACTCTATCAAATAAATGATATATTATCAGACTAAACAAGAATGTGGATGTGAGTATTATATTCATCGAATATTTACATCCTCAAGACACTTGATAAATCTTTCGTTATCTGTTATGTGTAAAAACATTGAAATAATATCTTGACCCTTTCAAAGCCAGTGGAACATATATATCCCATTTCTTTTGTTTTTGGTTAGTGAGTTTTAATGAATTGGAAAAATCAATTGTGATAGAAAGCACGATAATAGTGCATGAACCGTATTCATTTCCCGCTGTTACAGTTAAAAAACAAAGAAAATAATGGTGTATATTTTCTTTTTTAGCTGCGCAATAAATAAAGGAAAACTAAGATAAGAGAATTTAAACGATACTCTTGGAAAAAAAAGAACAATCTATATATATAAATGTATGATGTTTATTGATGAATATTAATGGAATACTTCTCTTCAAAATTCTTAATAGTCTTTTGATAAATATGAGTTATTTTACAGATTAAATGACGACAATGACAAACGAAATTAAAGAAAATATATCAAGTGATATGTATGTCAATGACGGAGGTGATACGAGTCTAACTTTACTGCCTTTGTCGATTTCTCATTATACATGCATACTGTATTTCTATTCTCGTTCCGCAAAACAATTTCAATTGCCAAGAAAGTGTTCTGGTGTATAGCCATCATTTATGTATTATAGGAAGAAAACATTTATTTCATTTTTCTTGCTTTGTTAAAGCTTTTGTATAAATTATACTCAAAATTTAGTCTTGAAAGGCTTAAAGAAAAACAATTTTTATTCCGATCTAAAATTACAAAAGATTAATCATATACATTTCTATTTATTTCATTCTACTAGTTCTTTTTGCGAGTATAAGATGCAACTTGCTTAGAGCTAGCCTTAAATTTCTTTTACTGATTTATTTATTTTTGAATAATTATTTTAACTTTCGTAATATAATGTAAAAATCTTTATAAACGGTCAAATGCTCATTAGTCTTGCATTTGACGTTATTAATTCTTTTTTGAATAGATGAGTTGTTATCTGATTTCAAGCATAATTCGAACGCTTATTAATTCTTATTCTACATTGTTTATTTTGTGGAAGTAAGATATTTTCTCTGAAAGATAGCATAGGATATGATCAAATAGAGATAAAGAATCTTCAGCCACCAGTTTGTGAATGCTATTAAGCGTGGGTGTGAATTTATCTTTTATTTAGCCACACCCCCACTTAATTCACACTGACCGTTTCAATGATGCTAGCAAAATATCTAAATAAAAACAAATAAAAACTTATACTTACATATACCATGATATTATCAAAATATCTAAACGAAAAAATTAAAAATTAACTTTATAATATACCCACTCATCGACGCTACGTTATTATTGAAACATCTAAATAAAAAAATAAAAATTCTATATGTAAGAATCATACTTGACTATTCGACAATTTCATTGAAGTGTCTAGATGAAAAAAAAGGGTTTAATATATAAATCTTATACTTACCTTTTCGACGATTGAACTGAAACTCTACATAAAAAGTATAAGCTTTATATATAAAATTGATATTTGCCTATTCGCCGGTTTTATTGAAGTATCTAAATAAAGAAAATAAAAATATTATATATAAAATGTATGCTTAATTTTTCGACGATATTGCTGAAATATCTAAATAACAAAAAGAGGAATTTTCTATATAAAATAGATACTTGCCTGTCCAACAATATGATTCAAATAACTAAATAAAAAAATAGAAATTAAAGTATTAAATATATAATATTCATACTTATCTATTCAACGTTTTTATTAATTTATTTAGATACAAAAATAAATAAAGTTTATATATATATAAATATACATATATGTATGTACATCTTAAACTTTTATGAAATTTATTTCTTTATTTATAAAAAAATAATTTTGAATGTTATCTTGTTTACAAAAATATACTAATAATATAAATGAATGTAATAGTTAGTCATGAAGTTTTGTTCGAAAAGATCACACTACTAAGATTATTAATTCTATGAGTTACTAGTAAAAATAGAGATATATTGCTTGATTATTAGGAAAGAATTGTTTCTTGATTTAAGATTTTTGATTGAAATAAGCTTCAAGTGCTGGAACAATTTGTTTTTTTCGACTGACTCTTGAACCAAAATCAGCAATATGATCTTTAACATCAGCTTGGAATGCTTCGCGAGCCACTTTTTCTTCATTTTCACCGGAAATTATTGTTAAATTCTTTTGATTAATGATATCAACAATTGAAAATAAAATACCATTTAAATTATGTTTTTTCTTTTCGTCATCAATTTCTTTAAGAAATTCATCTTTTCGTTCAAGCATTTTATCAACATTACATGTTTCACCAGTACCAACACCCCAATGTTCATTATTAAATTGAAATGTTTTATAATCAGGAAAAAGAACTTTATGTGTAGAAAATCCAGTTAAATCACTTTTAGCTTCAAATAATTTATTAACATAAGATTTTAAATCATCAATTTTAGCAATTGGTTGTAAGTATTCACCGATTTTTCGATCATCATCAGTTGTTATTGGTGATCTATAATAGAAATAATAGTTCAATAGTTGAATTAATAAATTCTGAATTCTTCTTACTGAAAATAAAGTGTATCACTAAGAATAGCACTGAGAAGAAGAGTTGCTGTTTTTTGATCCATATCGAGATTATTTTCACGAAATAATTTTGTTAAAATTGTTGCAGTACATCCAACAGGTTCAAAACGTAAATAAACCGGTTCGGAAGTTGTTAAATCACCTATTTTATGATGATCGACAACACGAGTAACACGCATTTTTTTCAAATTTTCCATAGATTGTTGACCTAACAATAAAAGAATTGAATTATTATAACAAAAAATTCATCTTAATTTTTACTTTCATTATGATCAACTAATGCAACTTGTGTCCCTTCAGGTACATTATCAGGTATCATATCAGGTGCTTCCATGTCAACTGTTTTAAGTACAAATTTAGTTTCATTATTTAATTCACCAAGACGATAAGCTTTTGCATTCACATCCATTCGACGAAGAAAATCAGCATAAACCATAGCTGCTGTAATTGCATCTGTATCTGGATTTCGATGGCCAACAACAATAACTTCATCCTTTTTATCACCCATGTTTATTTGTTTGTTTTTCAAACAAAAATATATTGGAATAAAGATATGATCTGAAAAGAAAATATGATAGGTTTTTGCTATATAATTAACTATTGCAAGATGGTAATTTTGTCTCATTCTCAAACTAAATATATAATGAAAGCAAAAACAATGTGAGAAAAGAAAAATAGAAAAGAATCACAAAAGCTCAAAGGAACGTGTATATATATATATATATAAAGATATACTGTTAATAAATCAACATTAGTAATGAGCCATCAAATACACACACACAAAATAAATAAAACGTTTTTCATAACTAATGTATCACTATATTTCATAATAGCAAAAAAAAAGAATATCTCGACTAATATCTGATCTTTGGTATATAAATGAGAATATACATAGACTTTTTTATTTTGTTTTCCTAACGTTGAACTAGTTGGGTAAGAAGAGAATTAGTTGTATTAATTGCTGCAATCACTTGTTCAAGTAAACGATTTTGTCGACGTTGTTCAGTAATCAAAATGGTTAAATTATCGTTCACACTAGTATCATTGTCTTTTTCAGAAGTTAATACTTGTTTCGGTGTCGTATTCGAACTACTAAATAATGGTTTTTTAGCAGTATCTGTTATAATAGATGTTTTTGTTATTCCCGACTGAAATATCTGATTATTGTTTAGTGTTGGAGGTCGCTGTAGAAGATCAACAATCGGTTGAACAGCTTGTGAAATAGTACGTGAAACTAAATCAAATAATATATTAAACATTAGATAGAATCTTTCATTTATCACTCACTTTCATTAGCTGTTTGTGGAAAGCTTTCTGTTTTAGTTTTTGATATTGGCACTGGTGTTTTAGGCAATTTTTGTTGAACTGGTTCTGCAAGTAATTTTGGAATCTTTAATGAAAAAAACTTAAATATTTTTAGTTTATAAATAAATCTCAAACCTCAGTAGGCTTTGGTGTAATTTGTTGTTGTTCTTTCTTACGTAATTCTAATATATGATCAGCGAGTGATTTTCCATTTTGAAGTAAATCCACAAGATAAATATCTTGATTCTTTTGCATAATTTTCATTTCAAGTCGTTCACTTTCAAAATCTCTTAAAAGTGTATCACGTTCATCATCTGTTAATTTAATATTAGCTAATTTAATTTGTACACTTTGCCATGGAATAGTTTTCAAAATATCTGGACATTCACTAATACGATCATTTGAAACAATTTCTTCATTACCAAAATCCACAAAATAGACACGACAACCATTTTCTATAAAAAACATCATATTCTTTTTTTTATATTCGATTATTAAAAGATATAATTAGTTTTACCAGTTATACTTTCAATCCATGCTCGATACCATAGATTATCTGCATCATATTGTGCACAAATAAGTGTATCTGGCTTTGTTTGAACAGTAAGTGGTTGTTTATTAGCATTCCAATCTTTTAATATATTCATTATTGTTGGTAAAAAATCACGCATAAGTAAAACATGAAAACATTCTGATTGTGCATCAACAGTTGTTAATTGAACATGATGCATTTCCGATAGATTTATGTCAGGTTTATTGGAATCAAAATTAACTATTTGATTTTGTTTTGTTACATTTGTTGATGAAAATATTGAAAGTATTTCATTATTTAAATTTCTTTCATGTAAGTTTAATTGTACAACTGGAAAACCATTTTCAATACGTAATACAGTCATTTCAAGTTTAAGATCAAGAACTAAAATAATTATAAACAAAATAGAATTGTTTGTACACAAATAGAAAACTTACCAAGTATGCCGAGAATATTATTTGTTTGTTCTTGGGAAAGTTTTTCATTAGATGGTATACCATCTAATATACATTTCACACATAATGCTGGATCTTTGTAATATCTATTATAAGAAGAAAAGAAAATGATTTTTAGAACCATAGATGTCACTTACTCATTTGGTAATGGACGAATTTCAAGAATTGAATCACACCATCCACTATTACCCCTATATTAAAATATGAATGATGAAAAATAAGAGAAAAACAAAAAATCTATTTACCAATCAATATATTGAACACGTACACGATTTTCACCCGTTTCTAAAACACGAGCTCGATACCAATCACCATTGAAAAGTGCAGCACAAGCTTGTCCAACCGTTAATTTCGATTTATAAGAATTTGCTTGAACTTTTGAAAGTTGTTCATGTTTATTCATTTGTGTAATAAGTAATGTAGCATTAACATAATCATCTAATGTTGCTGCAAATATTATATTAGGTACTTCAAGATTTGATAAATAAACATTATAAGTTTTATTGATAACTAATGGTTCATGTTCTTGAATATTTAATTGTTGAGTAACATTTGATGTTCCTGAAATAAGATTTTCCAATTTCAAATAGATTTAAAATGCTATATCTTACCATTTTGAAATGGACTTTTATTATTTGATATTAAAGGAGTTTGTTGTCCAGAATTACTATTCCATAATGGTTTATTGGACTGTGGTGTTCCATTTAGTTCATTTGTACTTGAATGTGTACTATCAGCTGTCATTGGTTTAAATCTTGGGTGTGGGGTGGCTGTGGGTGTGGGTGAGTTCTTTCTGTTTGACACATCGACACCCACACCCACACCCACACCCCACCCACACCCACACACCCCACCCACACCCTACCCACACACCCCACCCACACCCCACCCACACCCACACACCCCACCCACACCCACACACCCCACCCACACCCACACCCACACATCCCACCCACACCCCACCCACACCCACACCCTGTCTTATCTTTTATTGTTTTCTTTTTGGTCTGTTTGCCACATGGAAAGGAGCAACGAATGATCTGGTAAGAAGAATGAACGGAGTTTTATAGCATTTATAAACAGATTCTCGTTGATGAAGACGGTAGTCAAGTTACTTTTTCTCTTGATGGGACAAAACTTAGTTTATGATTTTGAAGAGAGTCTCCAATAGGGTAATAAAAAGGTAAATGACGCACATTTTTTTGGCAGAAAAGTGGTTAAAAATCTAATCATATTCAGTGAAAATCTTTATCGGAAATTGTTCGTCACGCCTAGATTTATATTGAATATCCGTATAAAGGGTGAGTATATACGTCAAAATTAGTGACTTTTCATTACTCTCAGTAGACATAAAAGGAAAAAGGTGATGCTTTTGTATACTAAAAAAGCTTGTTTGCTAAGCAATAAACCATTTTGAAAGTATTACGCCCTCGTCACTTTATTTTTTACGCGTTTTAACGTGCACTTGTCACAAATAGTGTTGATACTTCACATAGAGATTCATAGTTCATACTATTTAATGATCCCGTATATGTCTGTCTTCTATCATTAAAAACTGTTTTCAGATAAACATGACTAACATTCACAACATCGAAGTGTTTTTGTGTTTGAATAGTATCATTATTTTTTATGGTTCTCATTTTTTTTCTCTTTTTTATTTTTATTGAATAGTCTGCATCCAATGACTATCAAATATATAATGTATGAGTTATATACCTTTTTTGTTGTTATTTACTCTTAGACATTATCTTCGATTTTATGTTAGTATATAATATCGATCATTCTAGATATTTTATCGTATATCTGTTTGAACAACGATAATACAAAAACGATGTATAGATGCAGATGTAGTAAACAATTTTATAATCAAATCGATTTAGATGATCATAAAGTAACGATATATTGCGACTATCCTCATTTTATAAGAGATTTTTCATTTAGAAAAATTGTAAAGATCGATGTTTTATTTGTGAATTATGTAATGAAAATGTGCCATCATATGATATGACTTATCATTTAAATCAATGTGGTAATAAAACAATAAAATGTTCCAAATGTCAAAACTATATTCGACGCGCAATTTATAATTATCACTTGGATAATAATTGTACTGATTTGGATGAAGATGAAAATATTTTCACTAAAAAAGATATTAAATATAGACATGTTGGGAATTCGAACTCTGTTGAACCAGAACAAAATTTTAAAGGTTAGTATTAGTTTTTAATTATTATTTTACTATTTTATTTCTAGAAAATATTTTTACTAATAATAATACACAAATAGATGCTCATATATTTATTCCATGTCAGTTTTGTAACGAACAAATAGAAATATCTTCATATTATATTCATTCGGTAGTCAACATTATTCTAAATTGTTTCATGTTTTAATGCAGCTTTTAATATTTTAGCTCGACTGTTCTCAAAATCAAAGTCATCGTGAACTAAACTGCGCATAGTAAATTCTTCTTTCTTATATTAAAAACATTGATTCTTTTGTGATGTGTAGCCCTTTGATCAATTCTAATACGTATGAAAAGGTAATTCATAAATTTTTATGCACGAACGATTTGACTTATAAGTTTTCCTGTGATGGCTTACCCAGCATTGCTATATCCAAATCTTAGAAATCAGAGGTTTTTCATCAAAAAAACAGAAATAGATCAGAAGACTTTCTTTACAAAATCAGGAGGAAAATCAGGAACCTTTATCTCGAAACCAGAAGAAAAATACGATATTGTTACGTATATTATTTGTGGAAAAGCAAGGCTTTTCATCCTCAGATATTTATAATTTTGATTTTTAATAAACAAGCAATGAAAAAGTCTGTCTTAGTGAACGAAACAAGGAAAAAAGATAGATAATTACATAGTTCATTTTACTGGTCTTTTGAGAGCTGCTTGTTGAAACATATAAACAAAACAGATATAAATGGTTTTTAAGAAACTGCCAAAGAATTAAAACAGAACAGAGTACACCGTTTCCTACGTCTTTTTTGATATTGTTGTTTCACGATTGTATTTTTCTTGTGAGTGAATTGGTCTTAACAGTTCTTCACTATTTCAAAGATTTTTTTATTTTAATTTTGAACTCGACATCCACTAGGATCATTTTTCATTCTATTCCTGTTATCATTTCATCAAAATTTTGTGTGACTGAGACTTGACTCATAATCAGTTTTTTAAACTCATTATTTATCGGTCTATATCAGCACTGGAAACGGATCGGTTATAAAAAAAATCAATTGGCCCGTAGAGATAGAAATTTTCGGGTTGAAATTTTTCAAAAGCCTTCTTTGTCGATCCTGTTTCTGGCCATAAAAAACTAAGATAACGCATAAATTTCTGGTAGAGTTGGTAAAAAAGAGGACAAAGCACAGTTTATTTAATTATTTGTTGTGAGGTTCACTCGAAAAAGATGGTTTTTGTTGAATGTCTCATACATGTTTTCCGAAACTACACCCTCGCACAAAAGTCTTATCTCTCTTCGTTTTTTTGCTATCATACTTTGTATAGAATTTATTGCCGAGTAGAGATATGATTTGAGAGTTTTATTTTAGTATGATATGCAGATCACAATACAATAAAACTCTTAGGTTATATCTATACTCAGCAATAAATTTTATACAAAGTATGATAACACAGAAATAAAGAGGGAGGAAAGACTTTTGTTCACGAGTGTATCTCATATTTGGGTCTATTTTTCTATAAAAATTGTTTTTCAAAAGAGTTCGGGATTTTTTTGCCGGTTTTTCTTGTCTGTTTCATCGGAATTTTTTCCGTACAACATGTGATTTCAATAGGTCAGATTACTGACCAGACTCGTTTACCATTTCGCAACTGACTTTCAGCACTGATCCTTATTATATCGCAAAAAATCAGTATTCTTGGAGACAAAAGCTAAAGACGATTAAAATACTCGAAAGAAGTCGCAATCTTCGAAATGTTTCATTTTACAAAAAATATAGAAGTATCATATAAATACACAGTATGAAATCGAGCTTTGTGAATTAGAACTTGTAATTTTTCAAAAATCAAATCGTAGTATGCGATCAGACTTTTGGCAATTAGGTTTTACCTTCTGGAAGGTCAAAAAATTGAATATGATGCTGGTTTTCCATCGCTTGGATTGCTACTACATATATCTAGCTGTGATAATCCTCTTCTTTTTCTCATTTTCTATGCATTGAGTGGCGTTAGTATTCAGATAATCCACCTCCGCCCCCTCCCTCATTATCAGAAGCTCCCATGAACTTCTAATATGTCCACCACCTGAAGCTTTGAAGGAGGGCTTCTATTAAGCCCTAAAACATTTTCATAGACTGACTACAACAACGACTCGAAAGATTTCTGCAGATTTCCAAGGTTTTATGAGTTTTCAGAAGATTTTTAGCGATATTTTTAGATTTTAGCACATCTAAATTGGAAAAAGTGAAATTTTTACCTTAAATTCGAAAAGTTTTAGCGGTTTTAGCAAGAAAATTCGGGAGAAAATTTTAAAAATGCGAATATGTTTTTGGAAAAATCAGAGAGCTTGTAATACGTCATACAAATTGCTCATCTCAGGGGAGAAACTTCTAATATGGTAGGGGCTTCTATTACGGGAGGAGTTTTAAGAAAAGAATTGAAATCAAGAAAAATCAGCAGAAACTCCTAAAAATCAGGAGTCTCCTGGTCAAATAAGGGGGTTTGACAGTTCTGGGCTTACGGCACACTCACAATTGAACTCCATATAGCATAGTCCCCTACACTTGAGGCTCTTGTTGTTAGTGTCAGCCTTACTTGTACTTATCCTCACTTTCACCATCATCCTCACATTGTCGAGAGGCGCAGATGTCGGGATTCAACTGTCGCGTCATCGTCGCTTACATAGTCGTACAGATTTCTATCAGGTATAAGCGGAGAAATCTAGAACTAAAATGTTATTTTTATAGGACGTTGATTCAAAACCAAGACCAGATGAAGAATCGAATGAGAAACATTCAGATACAACATTAACTAATTTAGAAAGTGCTAAATCATTGAGCAAAGAAAATTCGGTATCACTTTTATATGAAAAAACAGCTGTTGTTCAAGATGAATTATGTAAAAAATATTATGTACCTGAAGTGAATCATGTAACGGATAAAATTCAATTTAATATCATTTTAACTGGTTCACCACGTGTTGGAAAAAGTCAATTGATTAATGCATTAAGCAATGGAGAAATAAAAGCAAAAACAAGTCCTAGTCTTAATTCATGTACTACAGAAGTTCAATGCTATACGCTGGAAGATAATCAAAAACGAACTCCAGGTATTAAACCATTTCGAATTAATTTTTATGATACACCTGGTATTGAATCATGGACTAATGAACAGGGTCAATCGACAATGTTAAAATTTATTGAAGAAAAAGATCCTGTTTGTCTTATGTTTTGTGCATCACCTGGTACATTTGCTGATCTAAAACAACTTCGACCAGTTCTTGATTATTGTCAAACAAAACAAATATTTTGTGCACTTGTCTGTACAAATATGTGGTCAAGTCCAGCTCGAAAAGTAGTTATTGAAGAATTTGAAAAAGAACTTTTAAGATTTGGTAAACCCACTGAAAGATTATTTCAACAGCAACATACTCAAAAATCTCATAAAGTAACAATTTTTGGCAATAGTGCTCTTTGTACAATGGTTAATTCAATTGAATATGATGATCCAGAATTAGCATCGGTAATAAAACCAGTTCAAGGTGTTGATGAACTTATTCATTGTATTATGAGCACACTTGATCATGAAAAATTACTTGGTTGGTGTAATGCTGTACTTTATCGACGAAGTTTTTGGGAAAAAATGAGTCAGAAAGTTGATGGATTTTTTTCATTACATTTACCAATCTTAATCGAACGGATTTTCGACATGGAGAGGAAATTGAAGTTAACATGATTTTACGTTTATTTGATAAATTTAAAAAATAAAATAAAATATTAATTTTTTTGTCTTTCTAGATAAGATTTAATTATGGCTAAAGAGTCGAATATAGTTGTTTGTGGTTCAGCTCGTGTTGGTAAAAGTACACTTATTAATGCATTATGTGGAAGAGAATTAGCAAAAACAAGTAATAGTTTATCTTCAAAAACTGATCGAATGGAAAAGTATATATTAAACAGAGATTATATTTCGTCTAATGAAGCTTCAAATTCGAATGAAAATCAATATTCTATAACAATATGGGATACACCAGGAATTGAATCATGGACAAAAGAACATGTTCAAGAGCATATTTCAAAAATAATGATGAAAAGTAATCCAGTTTGTATGATTTATTGTGCATCACCTGGTTCATTTGCTCGTCTTGATCAGTTAGAATGGATTATTGAAACGTGTATTAAATCAAATATTTATTGTGCATTAGTTTGTACAAATAAATATAATGGAGGTAGACAAAGTCGTGAACAATTATTAAAAGACTTTCATTCTCTTCTTTCTCAATATCAACCAATGACAAAAGATGAAAATAATGTTAAATATTATGGAGACGCTGCTCTTTGTACAACAGTTAATAGCATTCCATTTGAAGATGAAGATCTCGGAGCACAAAAAGGAGTTGAAGGTATTAATGAACTTCTTTTTGGTATAACAAGTTCGTTAAAAGGCGATAAACTTATTGCGTGGTGTCATACAATTGCTGATAATAAATCATTTTGGTCGACAATGGTTAATCAACTAACAGAAGTATACAAAATAGCTCGGCCAATTGTAGAAGAAGCGCTTCAAAAACATGGAAATGATATTGCAAAAGCTTTAATTCCACTTATTATTGGAGCTATTCTTACTAAAAAATAACTAAATATTATCAAAACAATTCTCTTTGTTTAATCATCTTTGAATAAACAATTTTTCATGATTTAGTTAAGTAACATTGAAACATTTTTTGATTATTTAGATTAAATCATTATTTCATCATTTTAAAATATTTTTTTTTTATTAGAGTGAATCTTTTTTTAGATTAAGTATCCTGAAGAACAGATTTTAGAATTATTTTAATATCTGTCGAATACTAAACGATCGAACTCGATTGGTTTTCCAAGGATAAAGACAATAAAAAGGTTAGTCTTGTGATTCCGTGTCTTCTCTTCACAGTCTGTAAGATCTCTTGTACGATCTTTTATTTTCTAGAAAAAAAAAATTAGCTAATGTCTCATAATGTTCGTGAATCAAATATTCTTCTTTGTGGTTCATCACGTGTTGGTAAAAGTACTCTTATAAATGCAATATGTCAACAAAATCTTATTAAATCTAATCAAAGTTTAAATTCTAATACAAAAACTATTGAACAATATTCATTTGAAAGTTCATTTAATAATTCAATACATAAAACAATATTTTGGGATACACCAGGAATTGAATCGTGGAATGAAGATGATATACATAATTATATGGATTCATTAATTGAAAA